TAAGGACCCCCCACTCAGCAACTGGTCAAAGTTGCAAGTGACCTACGCCGTAAAGAGGCCCAGAACGAAGCAGATTCCAAAGATTTCTTTTCACTCGTTTTTTACCGTTCCTGGAAGCGCGCAGCGAAAATGAAGCACACTTTTCAGGTCCTTGCATGAGCCCCTACAATATGCAAAAACCGTTTTCGAAAAGCGCACCACGCCCTGAACGACCTCCCTTGTTAGATACCCGGGTGGGCGTGGCCACAGGGGCAAGGCTTCGAAATGGACCGGTGTTTCCCAAATTTGTGCCGCAATAGATATTAGACGGGAGCACCGTTTACAAGGTAAACGTTCCTATTGTCTTCAAGGTGTGCTTAATGTTGATTTCATGATCATACGTAAGACCTGATAACCACTTTTTCGCCTCTGCCTAATGTATACCTTTGCAAAAAGCATAAATTCCAATCTAAGTTAATTCTTCCTCTCGGAACTTCTTAGTTCAAGCAGTAGAAACACACAGCTGTTTAATAAGAAGGAAATTATCGTCTCCAAGCTCAGGAAGAAGCGCTGAAGCCTAATTATATCCGTCCACGTCAAGCCCTCGCCCTATTTTGGCCACGCCCACCGGGTATCTAAGTCACGTTGCCCTTAAAGATTTCGATGTTGTTCCCAATGAGAGGAGTTCTGCGTGCTTCCTTAGTGCCTCCATCAATCAGTTGTTAATAAAGTGTCCTCCGTTCATAAGTCATCGTCCATGAATTTCTTCACCAGCTACTATTGACCCTTACATCTGCCCCCTATGACCTCTACATCAACCGTTATAAGCCGCAGGTTTCACCCAAGGGCGGTAGTTTTTTACTTCTACATTGGAGACTTATATAAGCCAGTTACGCATTACTAATTTCTAATGGTAAAATGCATGTTTTCTACAGTTAGCTCTTTTCCGTGAGCAGTTGAAGACGGGTAGCTGAAGAAACTTCTTTGTAGGTTCGTCAACAGGCAAACGAACAAGCTGAACTAGTCCGGAAACATCTGCAGTATGAGAAAGAACACCAAGTGCAAGAATTACGGTGAGTTTGAGAAAGTTCACCAGTTTAGATATCTGATTGAATATGAAAGAAAATTTCGATTAGGCGCCACTCGGCTAGGGAGGGGAGACATTTTGCACTTTCGCGAGTTCTTTCCGTTGGTTCATGTTAAATGACAGGTCACTCTTTGATAAGACCACTAAACCCTTTTGAAGCTGCGAAAAGTTACAAGTGAGCTACTTTCGTTACAGAAATTTGCATGTCTTTAGAGGGTGGCTTGTAAAAGGTTCGTGAATACCGTCCTGTGCCCCAGCAGGTCAAACTGCGCCCTCGTTACGTTAAGGCACTTTTTTTACATGAATGTTTCACCGGAGTATCGTGTCTAACCCTGAAAGTTCTGTTATTTCCTGCCTGTCACCCAGTAAACTCCTGTCAGTCCCTGCAGCTACATTGTTGTGCTACACACACGATGAAGCTTAGTTTTCAAGTTTGGCTATTCCGACAAGTTCGACAGGACTTTACAGGCTGCTTGACAATGTGCCACAAGCGCTAACTATGCCCCCCCCCCACCTCTTCCCATGTTTAAAGCCCCTCTAGAATACAAAGCTATGAATAGTCATCTCTGATGATGTCAATGTCGAGATAAATCAAGTCTTTGCTTCAAGGTCAGCGCTGGCTTCACTTAGGCATTTGCAAGAGAAGCGCGGTTTAGCCTTCGATTGAAGTGAAAGGATCAATTTCGGTGTGAAATAATCAGATATCGTTTTTAAGAAGAGAACTTCGACGTTCAGTATCGGAGAAAATGTCGGAAGTTTCTTCTGAAGGGCACGGTAATGTAAGGTTACCACTTCCCTCTGACTCATCTTCTGTGTCTTCCACTGCTCCTCCAGTTGCTTGCAAGGTTTGTTTCCATTTTGTTTCCTGTTCGGTGGTTTTCTTTCTAAGCATGTTGGTTTGAATCGCATGTTCGCGGTGGGAAGGGCCAACTAGGACGAGGTCCCATTTAGGACCTGCGTGGGGTC